TACGACGGAGGACGACGCCTGGGAGGCCCTTCGGGGTGCAGGCGGCCGGGTGCGGTGGGGATGGACTGGCAGGCGGGGGCCGCTCTCCCTCCTGGGCACCGCTGCTTTCCCTTCGGGCTCGGCCCGCTCCCAGGAAACGCGTGGCTTGGCAGAGCTCCTTCCTCACTTCCTGAGCTTCAGGTGAGGAGGAGCGGGGCTCCTGCGGGGCCGTCTTCCTCATGCAGTGCCTCTTGGTCCCGGGGGTCCTGGGCCCCTCCCCACTGAGACCCCCGCGGAGGGAGGGGCTACTTCCTCCCATGTTCCTGCCCTTCCTCGGGGGCTCTGCAGCTTCCTAAGCATTGCCCGGAGCCCGTGCCAACTTTGATGCAGCGGGTGTCTCCACAGGTGGTTTGACAAGTCCTTCACGCTGGTGGTCTATCCGAACGGCAAGGTGGGCGGCAACGCCGAGCACTCGTGGGCCGATGCTCCCATCATGGGACACCTCTGGGAGGTGAGCGGCCATGCCGGTCTCCCTCTGGGGGTCCCTGCCAACGGCCCAGGAAGAGCCACGGGCTGCCTGTTTCCTCAGCACCGCTTGGGGATAGATAGGCTGGCCGAGGCTGATGGGAGCGGTAGTTTGGTGACACCCCGAGGAGAGCAGGCCGGGTGAGCTGTCTAACCGTGCGGCGGCCTTTCTGTCCTCCCTCCCTTCCTCTCGCTGCCCAGTTCACGCTGGCGACGGACCAGTTCCAGCTGGGTTACTGCAGTGGCGGGCACTGCCACGGGGTGCCCAACACCGATCTGTCCCCACCGCAGCGTTTGGTGTGGGACCTTCCAGAAGAGGTAGGTCTGGTGCCTTTTACTTCCAGCATGTGAGAGCCAGGGGCAGAGGTCTGTGGCTGCGTGCGCATGGCACGTCTCGCGCTCACAGGGCCAGAGAAGGAGAAATTGGCCCAGACAACCCCAGCGCTGTCTGGCCGAATGTGTGGGTCGGGCACGTCGCGCTGCTGCAGAAGCGAGGACTGTTGCGTTTGAGGGGGTGACCCCTTCCTTCTAGGACTCCCCTCTCTGGCTCTTCCTGCATTTTGCTTCTCAGCCCCACCTCTGCCCCATGGAGGGTTAATTCATAGAAAAGGGCAGGGCCTTGGTTGGGGGCCAAGGGAGCTTTTTGCCCTTGGGGGGTTTCTTTTCAAAATACGTACACGGCCAGAAGCAGGAGTCCCCCAGCCCCGTCTGCAGCAGCTGTAAGGCCGTCAAAGGGGTCCTCCTTCCGCTGGCTGGGACGCCCCAGTTGTCTGCAGAGGATGTTTGCCCTGGCGTGGGTGGCAGCAGCAGGGCAGCCGGGTCCTGCAAATGCAACTGGTCTGCAGCCAGGCGGGTCCCCTGGG